ATTTGAGAACAGTTTGGTCTTTTCAGTTGAGGTTTTGTTAGAGTGCCAGAAAAGCATCAGGTGTAAGACCAATTTTTCCCCATTACAGGGATGAAACCCTTTGAGGGCATCACCCACTATCCTCAAGAAATACAATCTTATTTCTGATTGCCTCACAATTTCTGGTTCCCATGTGAGTTCAAGGCTTTGTTCTAACTTTTTTCAGGTAATTTGTTCTCCAAATTTATTATTTCATCCCCCAAATGCAGCAACATTCAATGTAATATTATTGATTTGTCACTTTAATGCACACACATCTAATAGTAATTTGTAATAGTTTGTTCTTGTGTGGCATTCCAACAGAGAGTGGACAAATTCTAGCACTGATACATCTAAGTGCATGTAATTTCCAAATTCACTTTGCCTCTCTTCAAATTATATGCACCATAAGACCTATTGGCTTGAAATATAAATTCAAACTATGTAGGCAATTAACAGTAAGTCTGGAAATCAAACAGGAGAAAATCTCAGCGTCTCCAATTTTAAGAAAATTTAAAGGGGCAAATTTTTTCCTGTAAAAACAACTGTATGTTTGTCACAAATTGCTTTTCTTCTTCCCCAGATATCCTCCCTTCCCTCTGAGCACTGTACCCTTAATTTCTTTCTAATTTCCCAGCCCAGCGCGGTAGCCTAGTGGCTAAAGTCCTCTCCTTGAATGCACCAGCATCCCATATGGGCACCAGTTCTAATTCCAGCAGCCCAGCTTCCCATCCAGCTCCCTGCTTGTGGCCTGGGAAAGCAGTCGAGGACAGCCCATGTGGGAGACCTGGATGAAGTTCCTGGATCCTGGCTCTGGATCGGCACAGCATCAGCCGTTGCGCTCACTTGGGCAGTGAATCATTGGACGAAAGATCTTTCTCTCTGTCTCTCCTCCTCTCTGACTTTCAAATAAAAATAAATAAATCTTTTTTAAAAATTAGACTGTCATTGTATGCAGCTTTAGATATGAATGATTCAAATGCTAATATTAAAAGAATAATAATGATAAATTCCCAAAATTCAATCCGAAATTTTCCCCCTAGTGCTAAAGTTGTTTTATAATAAATGCTCTCTCAGCACTCCCATCATAGCCTATGGTTTCCACTGCAAAAGTTCCCAATATATCACACTCTAATTTGGGGACTTCCTACCCTATCATGTATAACGGAACTGAGATTAAACATGGACAATTGACCTGCTTTCACATCTAGCAAGAAAAGTTAATGAATCCATGGCTGGATGATAAACAACCTTAGCAAAGGGATTGGTTTACGTGTTTCATTTATGCATTTTTAAAGCACGGTTTCATCCAGGAATCGAGGTCCACAGAGTTTGTCCACGCATTTCTGGTCAAGACATCTCTAACCACACGTAAAGCTGTTTCTGAGCTCACTGATAGAGCACACTTTTAATTAACAAGTAGAAATAACAGTGCTACCCCCAAAACAAACAAAGAGACAACACAGAACAAAACCACAACACTGTGCAGACAGACATCAGAAGACTGGAAACTGCACAAACAAGTATCTTCTAGAGGGTCCTAAACCAGAAAAATTTGAAGATTCCAAATATACTAAGCCTCATCTCCTGAATATTCTGACTAGATAGTTTTGAGGTCTATCCAGAAACACTTTGTTTTAAACAATCAAATTTTATCTGATTTAAACAAATCCACACCCCTATGTATGGAAACTTCCAAATGAGATTTTGTTAAAAGCCACAGATAAATATTAGCAGAAACCCAAAATAACAGCTTATCTAGTACCATGTATTTCTAAGTAAATAACAACATGATCTTTGTCTATGAAAGGTGTTTAATAAACCCTGAATAAATGGCTGGAAGGATGGAACTCCATAGCTCCTGGCCCCAGCCTCGCCCAGCCCGGACAGTTGTGGACATTTGAGGAGTGAAGCAGTGGACAGAAGATGCAGTTATCGGTTTGCCTCCCTCTCCTTACCTTTCAAATAAAGATAAAAATCTTAAAGTGAAAAGAAAAACAAATCTTAAAAAGAAAAAGAGGAACTGGCTGAATGTGAACCAAGTCCAAAGGATCATATCTATATCTAAGACAAATGTAGAAAAGAACTGGGTCAGCAACTGAGACCAAGCCAGACTGGTTAGTGCGTAAGAACTTGGGAATGAACACACACCTCTAGGCAGAGGAAAAGGCTTTTATTGGACTCTTATGACCTGTCTAGGTTCAGCTGACAGTCGAAATGAAAGTGTTAAGACATTAAGGAGCACTGCTTTTAATTCCAGTAAGATTTAAAAAGGCCTAGGATATAATGCACGCTTATATACTCCAAGGCTAGAGGAGTGTAATCTGGAGCCTTAACACTGTAGACAGACTGGGAGACGAAAAGCCTTCACAGGACCTTGGGGAGGAGGTAAGAGTGGGGCACAGAATTCCAGAGTGAAAAGTCTTTCAAAAGGAGAGTGATCAACTGTGTCAAATGTTACTGACATTTGCGCAAGTAGTGACCTTGACCATGGCAATGAGTGTCTGCTGCCAGTACAAGCAAGAACGGCAGGAAAACAAGTTTAAGAAGTTTTCCTATTAGAGGGACAGAAAGAAATGCACTCCAAGGGGAATGTAAGATTAAACATTTTGGCTGCTTATTCTTTAATGATAAATGCTACTGTAAAATGTTGTATGCTGACAGGTTTGATCACATAGGAGGGGAAATGACAACAACGAAATGGAACAACTATTGCAATGATGTTCCTGAGAGGGTGAAAAGGAAAAGAGATTCAATGCCTTCCAGAGAGGCGGCTCTTTTCAGATGATGTTCATCAATGCAAGTAGGAGAATACAGACCTGAAGGTGAGCACCTGGGTTAGTGAAAGTGAAGGTGGGAACATGTAGAATTTTCTCAGAAATAGGAAAATATTATTTATTAGCCATACAGAAAGAAATGTGGATTTAAAAAGAATAAGAACATCAAGAGGGACTGATGCTTTGGTACAGCACATTTGGTCACTGCTTACAACATCAGCATGCACACTGGAGGCACAGCTGCTCTATACTTGATCCAACTGCCCCCAATGCACTTGGGAAGGGGTGGAAGATGGCCCAAGTATGTGGGTCCTTCCTTCCATTAGGAAGGTCTGGATAATTCCAGGCTCGTAGCTTCAACGTGGCCAATGCCAGCCACAACAGGCATCTGAGAAGTAAACCAGTGGATGAGAGATTTGTCTCTCCTTATCTGTCACTTTGCTTTTTAAACTAATAAATGAATCTTTTTTTAAAGATTTATTTATTTTTATTGGAAAGGAGCTGGGAGCTTCTTCTGGGTCACCCATACAGGTGCAGAATCTCAAGGCTTCTAGCTGTCCTCCATTGCTTTCCCGGGCCACCAGCAGGGAGCTAAAATGGGAAGAACAGTTGGGATACAAATCGGCACCCATAAAGGATCCCAGCGCATTCGAGGTGAGGACCTCAGCCACTAGCCTGCCATGCCAGGCCCTAATAATGAATCTTTAAGTTAAAAAAGAAAAAAAGCAAGTAAGCAATTACTAATACCTAATTGTTGAAGCAAGTGGTAAGTGAATAACTATGGAAACACAGTAGGATTTGCATTTTCACTTGGTACTAAAACCACACTTAAGGTGAGAGGTCTTGACTGACTTTAATGTGCCTATGCCTGAGGCTGGTGCAAAGCAACCGGGCGGGAGGAGTGGTATACGAGGCATAGAGAATAAAATGCTTCAGCAAATACTCTCTAAATGAATAAGCAGAAAATTGGACAAACACATTTCAATCCCTTTTTTCCTACTTTGGATATATACACATGTGAGCTTTCCCGCAAATACACAATTTGTGTATGCATATAGCTTAGGGAAAATCCACTCCAAGCTAATAATAGTACATCATCTTCCAAGGGATGAAAATAAAGACTTATTTCCTATACTTCTCCCACCATCTACTTTTTATTCTATTACTTTGCTCCAAAGCAAAGCAGATGGGACTAAACCCAGCACTAAGATTATTGGAAAGTAACATCATAAAGTTCATAGAAAATAGAATTGAAAAACTTTAGCACATATAGTTGATTTATATAAGCAAAATCACTGCCACATTAAGTTGCATACTGACAGAGTTACAAACTGGCACACCATCTACAGCCAATCTTCAGTACCTGCCACCCACACGCACAATTCAATGAAGTTCCTATTCCTGGCTCCAGCCTGGTCCAGCCCTGGCAGTTGTGTCCAGCTGGGGAGTCAATCAGCAGGCGGAAGCCTCTGTATCTCCCTCTTTTTATGTAACTTTGACTTTCAAATAAACTTTTCTTGAAAATAGCTTAATAGAATTATTTATTTAAGGGCTACAGGCATTACCCATAAAATTACTGCATTTGAAGGGAGGATGGAGGTAATTCAAGTATCTGCAGGGTTATTGTTTCTCAAGTTTTGTGTAAGGCTATATGAAATTTTTAACTTCCCAAAATATACTTTATCTTTTACCGATTATGATTTCTGTGAGATTCAGTGTGCCACAGACATACATACACAAAGCTAAACTACAAGGAGGTTAGCATACTGGGAAATAACAGATGTATACAGCCTGCCTCTTTACTCTTGAACAATAGAATTCCCATTACTATTTTTATTACATTTTTACATTGCTGGTTTGTTTTCTTTTTCCTACATTTGTAATGTCATGATACATCTATGTATCACAAAGTTAAGCTGCAACAGTGAAGTAAATGACTATGCCATTGTCATAACTTGGAGACAAGTAATAAAGGGGTATTTAAAAGGGAAAAAGATGAAGGAGGAGCAGGGATGAGCCCCTATGCATGCAAATCTGTATCAAGGGAAAAAAACAATATATTAAAAAAAATTCAGTGTGCCAAACTTAGAAATAAACACTTGCAATTTTTTTAATCATAGGACTCATTTCATTAAATCTATGACTTAAATTATGTGATATAATATGATATATAATTGCCTTCCCGGTATTAACATTTCTTCTCACCTGTCTTTGATGATCCAGATCTGCTTTATTGCCAATTAAAATCATTGGAAACTCATCACGATCCTTTACTCTGAGGATCTGTCTTTGAAATTTATAGATTTCTTCAAAACTAAATAAACAAAAGAACACACAAATTTTGGTCAAGTATCACAATTCAGCAAGTCCCATTCAAATTCAACATTACAATGATCCAGAAAGAAAAAGTGGGTCCACATTTTAACATTGATACAAACCTGCCTCTGTCTGTGACAGAAAAGACCAACAGGAAGCCCTCCCCAGTCCTCATATACTGTTCTCGCATGGCTCCAAATTCTTCTTGTCCTGCTGTATCCAAAACTAAAGACGGAGAAAAATATAGTGCCTGTATTAGTGTTTTCATTTCATCAATAACTGCTCCTCACCAGAGCAGGGCATCACATGTGTCCTCTGGAGACCCCTACCCGTGGTGCAGGCTCCCTTCGCACCTCAGTCTCCACACTGACGATCAGACATTCCAACAGCTGACAGTCCAAGAGCTGATAAGCATCAGTACAGACTGATTCGGTGGTTTAAATTTATCAGCATCCCAATTAAAAGGCTAAAAACATTAAACCCAAGGAAGCTGACGGAGTTAGTCAACTCCAAAATCACCTGGATTTTTTATTCCACCATGGGAAGACCTGCAAAAGATACCTGTAAACCCAAAGATACTGTAGCCATTATCCCACCCACCCACCCTTCCTGGCCTCCATACCATATTCAGTGCAGGTGCTAATGGATTCTTCGTCTCTGTGAAGAATGCAACCAAGGAGCAGGCTTCATGAAGAGGTAGATGTTTAGCCAAGCACAGAGCACTATTTGTTCAATTAAACCGTCTGCATTATACACCCTAAGTTAACCAATGTCAAACCCTTCCTAAATGCACTTCCTCTCACAAGGCAGGAAGAGCTGACAACTTGACAAGTTTTTTTCCAGTTGTTCCAATCAACAGAACTAACATCAACAGGCACAATAAAACCAGTTCCACCAGAACAAGATCATTGCTATTACTGTTTTGCTAATTGTTCAGGAATCTTTGGTCAATACGCAGTCAAAGGCGAGAGATGGGTCTGAATTCAAGATACTCGAATACGTCAATCATACTATACATGGGGCTTCAAAAAAAACAAAAAGCGAAGTTTACTTACTATCTAGCCGGGCTGCTCTATCATCTATCACACATTGCTTTGTGTAGGAATCTTCAATGGTTGGATCATAATCCGTTACGAAATATGACTGTAAAAAAGAAAATCACTTTATTTTTAAATGTATGTTTACTTGCCTGCACACAGAGCAATGGAAACTTCATCAAATCCTTCCTACTGGAACTAATCAAAACCTTTTCACTGAACAGTGGCTTCAGAGGATCTACCTAATGAGAGAAGTAATCTCTGAGTTTCACAGCTGAGAGATTACAAACAGCTACTGTACTTTTCAGAACCATATAAGGCTAAGAACCTAGTTGTAAAGTTTTAAGAAAGTAAAAAAAAAAAAAATATTGCCATTCAGATTTCTTTGAACATTTTTAAAGAATTTGTTTATTTCAAAAGCAAATGGACAGATTTCCCATCTGCTGGTTCACTCCCCAAATGGCTACAATGGCTGGAGTTGGGCCAATCTAAACAGGCACTTCATCCGAGTCTTCCACGTGGGCACAGGGGCCCAAGAACCTGGGCAACCTTCCCCTGCTTTCCCAGACACACTAGCAGGGGCTGGATCAGAAACGAAGAAGCTGGCATTCCAACTGACATCCATACGGAACGCCAGCATCACAAGTGGAGATTTAATCCAGTACGCCATGGCACTGGTGCCCCGCTCCTCCCTGCCCTTTTGTTTTTAATCATTTCTTTTATGTGAAAGGCAGAGTAGAGTCACAGAGAAGAGGACAGAGCTCTTCTATCTGCTTGGCCACAGATTAGAAGTATAGTAGCTGGGATCCAAACCCAGCATCCATTTGGGATGTCAGTGACACAGGAGGAATCTTAGCCCACTATACCACAGTGCCAGCCCAGATTTCTTTTAATTTAACAAAAGCATCCGGTCAAAGAACAAAAGTAGCAGGGAAGAAATGGGAAGTAGCACAAAGAGCCTGGCACGTTCCCTCCCCTAGCATCCCATTTCCTCTCTCCAGCTGTCTACAAACTTCAACAAGCAAGCACAAGTTCAGGATTTCTTCATCTGAGGAACCACATACACTTCACCAACACATCAATTTCTCTTTTCCATTGTCCAAACCTCCCAATTGTTATCTTCTAAGGCATCTTAGCATGCAATTTACAATTTCCTCTTAAACGTATTTAAAAAAACAATACCCTGAGAGAGCCTGTATTTCACCTCTTCCAGAAGGTCACTGACTAGGATGGGCCCCACCCTTCTTTTGTGTTGAATATCTTCCTTGCTCTACTCCTGACTGACTTCCTCAAGCTCATTTTCCCACCAGCACACTGCAAAATCCCAGGGAGTTAGAGGAAGGCAATTTAATGCTGGGAACCAATGCCAACAGTATTCAGCCGTTCTCAAGGGTTGGTCCCTGGCCATGGGACCTGCTGGCTGACACCCCTCAGTAAGATGACGCATGCAGTCACCAGGAAGCTGCCCAGAAGCAGAAGTTCTGAACTGGACAGTAAAGAAGGTTCTGGCTGGGGCAGGAAAGAAACAAAAGGTGGTCCTGATCCTCTGGCTCCTCACAATCTTTTCCTTTTATTGTTACAGGCCATGTTCTATATTCTACTCACATGTGAGGGATAGCCATAACCACAGAATTCAGTATCCATAATCCTAGTTCTTCCCTGATGCCTTCAGTTAAACTCATGATTTGATCAAACAAGCTGTTAAATGAACACCAGCAGTAACAGGAAGCCACCTCAACCACCACTTCATTCCACTTAGAGAGGAATAAAAACAGTGAGGGGCTTGCCCTGTGACACAGCAGGTAAAGCCACACCCTGCGACACTGACATCCCAAGGGTGCACCAGCTGATGTCTTGGTCGCTCCACTTCCAACCCAGCTCCCTGTTAAAGTGCCTATAAAGGCAGCAGAAGATGGCCCAAGTACTTGGGCCCCTAACACCCACATGGAGTCCCTGCATCATAGCTTTGGACTAGCCAAACCATGGCTGCTGCACCAACTGAGGGGGTTAACCTTTATTTCCCCTTCTCCACCTCCCTACCCTTCTCTCTCCCTCTGTAAATCTGCCTTTCAAATAAGTAAATCTTTACAAAATAATAAAATAAAATTTGAGTAGCTGTAAAATAGTAACAACAAAAACTCTTATGGCAGAGGTAAAAAATGAAATAAAATACCAATATATGGTGATGGTTAATAAAGGTCAACCACAACAGCTGTATTATTTTGGTCATACAGTTAGATGGTCGTAGCTCGTGTTTCTATTCATGAAGAAAGGCTTGCTGATCCTGGAAGGCGCAGCTGTGCTGATTCCACTCCTTGTCACACCACAGGTCAACCAGGTGACCTCTGTGACGTGGTATCTAAATATTATAATCAGGCCATAAGCTCCCCACCTGGGGTTCAGGAAATGTTTTCTAAACTTGAGTAATAATTACCCAGGCACACCCATAAGGAAAAGAAAGTCATCAGGTTAGGTTGTGCTTTTTTGTGTATGCAGGAATTACATGTCCAGAGGACATACACATTAAATCAAATAGCTCCTCATTGCTTACAGGATCAGTGGTTCTTTGCATGGTACCCAAAGCACTCTAGCTTGATTTGAGTGAACTGTACAAGGCCCTATTTCCCACCACCTGAAATGTGTTCCAGCGTTTGGTCTTGTTCCTCTACTTTGCCCAGCTTATTCAATAGTTACTAATGGCGCAACTACTGAGAGTGCGATAGGGGTCAGGTCCCCATTGTCGCGGAGCCTCCTGTCCTTCATACAGCGATTACTGCAGTCAGGGGCTGGCAAATGGTGTATGTATAAGCCCCAAGAAGTGAGAAGTCAACAAAATCTAAGCTACAGATAGACAAATAGGTATAGATACATTATGCATTCAGTATACATATACATACACACATATATATAGTTATCGATAATATTTAGGAACTATGTGTACAGCCACTTATAAACAGAGAGCACCAGCAATTTGCCAGGAGAAAAAAAAGACTCTTGAAGTTGAAAAAAGTTACCAACTACAGCCCAAAAAGGGTATTCTATGGCAGAAAGCAAGAAAAAAGAAAAGGAAACACAATAACTGATGGTCTTGACCTTGACTCCAGCGGTTCAGCAAGTACAAGCAAGGAGAGTGGGCAGAGGCTCACACATGGAAGGCTAAAAGGAGTGAAAGGTGCATCCCTGGGAGCACTAGCAAGGAAGCTGGAGGAGGAACACGCCCCTCAAAGGGCAGGATGTTGGCAGAGCAAGATTATCACAGCGCACAGCTCCAGTCACAGTTCAGCTTCCAATTCCAGCTTCCTGCTAACAAGCACCTTGTCGCTCAGAAGAGAGACCACAGTTCCAGGCTCCTGCCTCCATCGTGGCCCAGCCTCAGGTGTGGTGGACGTGTGGGAATAAGCCAGCAGGTGGGACACTGATCTCTTCTCCCTTTTCTTTTTCTCTCTCCCCCTCCTCCCTCCCTTCCTACCCGATTTTCACACAAAATAAACAAAGCTCAGGATGTCTTGCAGATAATAAAGGCTAAGTAGATTTCAGTCTCGTAGAGGTTGTTTGGAGATACGGTGATCTACTTAAAATCAAGGTAACCATTCCATTTCCAAAGAAAAGATCTGCTTCCCCTGATAAAATTTGGCCTGGACAAGGCTGTCAGGAAGGAGCCTTTCTTGAAGCCAATAACAGCATCAAACTATTATGGTGTGATAGACTGGAAAGCTATTCCTGATTATGCCACTACGCTGTACACGGTCAGCTTCCAATTGCCAACTTACTGCCTTTCCATTGAGACACCACAGTAAAGAGAGAATGTGGAAGCAGAGGAAAGGGATGAAGGCCTTTTCCTCTTCAACCAGCAAATGTAAATTCACCTTCTCCTGACACCCAGCTATAGGGAGAAGTGTAGTTCCCAGCTCTGCCACACAGTGGTGCCTGCTCTATATTCTCGGTCAGAGCTGATTCTGGAAAACCCGGCAAATGTGAGCATTGGTTAACTTGATCACCTTGTGTAGCAAAAAGGCCCAGTCTGAGGGGGTTGCAAACAAATGAAGGGCATGTCTGAGCACAATGCCACTCTGTGGCGTTGTAGGGCGTAGGAAGGGAAGAACAGAGGGAGAGAAAAGATTACTTCTATAAACAACCGAGCTCAGTATTATACTGTTCACTGACCTTTTGCTTTTACTTGATCATTTCCGTGCTGACCATCCAAGCCCACTAAAATCTGGACCACACCTTCAAGTGGATGGCACAAGAACTGCCCAGCCATTTCTTAACGAGACCACCAATGGGGAATGTCATACCTGAAGGTTCCCACCCAGTCAGGAGTCAGGTAACAGTGAAAAGCCCCAGACCTTCTAAGAACCTTTGGTGTCTCTCCCTCCATGCAAGAGGCACCCCATCTCCTGCCTCCCTTCCGGGAGGTGCTTTCCGCCTGCCTCTTCTTTCCACATTCACCTGGTCACTTTGCAAGTAAAACTTCTTTGTAACCGACCTAGCCTTTTATTTCTATACTAAGCTGAGGAAAGAACCCACTGAGCTTTTCTGGTAACACTGAACACATGTTTTCAAAAATCTGGGAGGAGCACATAAACACCACAGGAGGCAAACCCAGGGCAGAGAGAGGTGCCTTTTAATCCTGAGCTTTCACCTCACTCAAGGCCAAATGGCCTGGAAACTGAGCTTTTTTTTTTTTTTTTTTAATGCAGAACACTTTCCAGTTTTTTTCTTTCTCTCCCTCTTTTTCTCAATATCATAAACTTACCTTATGCTTTATTTCCTTGTATTGCCCACCCACATCTCCCCGCCTCACTGGAAGAAGCTCCACGCAGCATCAAGCTACAGGCAGCCCAGTCCCTCAGCAGCTGTCTGCCAGCTCCTGGGCCAGCTGCTACCTGACTGCTCTGCCTCCCTGTGCAGCACACCCCCCAGGCCTCCACCGCCTCGGCTTTTGTGCTCAAAGTCAAAGGCTCCGTCACGTGGACAGCAGCATTTGCCAGACAGGCAGTCCACGTGACACG